AATGGAACATAGTCTGTGTGAAACCGGAGTAATGCCACCCTGGCTAGCTGCCCACATATCCAGCTATATAAGCAGCTGCTGCTGCTCGAGCTATGAAACCATTTGTCCTATTTTCAAATATGTGTCATCATTGATATATGGTACCCATATACAGCTTTTAAAAGAGTGCTGGCTATAAAAGCTTTTGGGGGACAAAAAAGTAATTTGGAAATAATTCATTGCTCCGGAAAACAACACAAGGCTGATTATGATGGATTTATGTTTCATACTTTTAGTATTTATGAGTTTCTGAATCTTAAACACAAAAATATCTGTCATTTGATATTTAGGGCACCTCTGATATTTAGCCTCAAAATTATGTTTGTGTAAAGAAAAAATATCATATAAAAAAATCTAATATAAAAATGCAATATATCAAAGTATGAATAACTTCTGATACCCTGAGGCAGCTCAGCACAAAAACATAGTTCTAATAAGTTACAGACACAATTTTCTCTGCAGAGACCAACCATCCATTCAACCATTTTCTTCCGCTCATTCCATCTGGATTGCAGTCTATGGGTGAGATGTGGGGTACACCCTGGACAGGTTGCCAGTACTCTCCAGAGACCCAGTGGCTAAATAAGAACGCATGACTCCTCATTTACATCCTCCATTTGGCTCTCTGATATCATAAAGCCTAATATAACATAATGAAAAACAGCAGCTCTGCTTTGATGTCACCCTAAGATGATAAAGAGTTGGGTAAGTGAACTGTTGCATGCATATGTTTGCTGACACGCATTAGGCTGCTGCAGCACTTGAAGACTGCCAGTTTTTTCATTGAAAAAACACACATTGTGATGCACTTCCTCCTCCTTCACTTCTTGGTGTGTGAATTATCTTTAGCACTTTCTTTGGAATACAGCTAAGCTTCATAGTAGTAAATATGTATTGATTTTGATTATGGACACCTTTAAAGTATCACTAACTTTTTTTTTATATAGAAACAGCTTAATATCAAGAGGGGCCTCCTGGAAAAGCTTTTTACTAGGATGAAGAAAATTCTTACTAAAATAGACGAAGAAACTAAGTTTTGGGTTCAGATATTAATTCTGTTACCGTTACTAAAAAGTATTCCTTTAAGTTGTTTAACTAAATAAAATCTGCTCAGTTTCCACAAAGCGCTTTCATCATAGATAATTTCACATGGTAAACAAACATGGTACATATCATACAATAAAACCAAAGTTATCAGACATATAGCATTATAACCATTAAAAGCTGAAGATAATCTCTAGTTATCTCTTCATCATAGTACCCAATTTAATGGAATATGTGGCAACAAGTTCATATTTAGATTTAAAAGCAATTAAAAATGGTAACATTTGTGAAGTTGGATGAGTTTGGTGGGGGGAGGGTGTCAATTACTGGGTCAGAGCTTCTCCCAAAGCTCCTGGTTTGCCTTTTCCCAGTCTGCAGTCATCGGTATCTATCTCAACGGCTTCCAAGGAAGGAATTGTGATGAATAAGCATAAATGTCAGGGTCTGCTAAGACTCACTTGATGCACTTGGGGAGTAAAGGCTCCCCCACTCCAGCAGACTACTATAAATCAAACTTAGAAAGTTTAAAGCTGTGTCTAAGAAAAAGTTTTCAGAATGTTTTATGCTTCACAGCTTGTTGTGTTGGGTTTTCATAGCTAGGGACAAATGAAGGGACCCCATACTGGTCTTTTTTTTTTGCCTGATCTGTGTATGTATTTCTTTTGATATGTAAGCAGACTGTTTTATAGGTTTTTCTGAAATGTGGTGTTGCTCATTGTTTATGCCTTCAGATCCTATTATGCTGTTATTTATTCTTCCAGATAAAAATGAAAGAATGGGACTTCAGCTGAGCTTCAGTCGCTCCATTTAGGATCCGGGTTGTATTTTTTTTTGGTAACAGTGTTGACAGCTACACTAGCATTCCAGCAGTTTCCAGTTTATGACATGTTTGAGCCATGGTAGTTTCCTGGCATTCTAATTTTCTTGTTTCTGAGGGGAAGGTTTGGATAATGTTGTTAAAACTTGCACAGATTTTGATGTTCTAACAGGACGAAACTCCCAGACATGCATCAAACCATGCAGCCTTTCCAAAGCCCTGACCTCAGCCCTAATGGAAATTTTGGCTTTCTGCTTAGAGGCGATTGGTATCCTGGGATGAAGAGCCTTTAAATTTGCACACTTAAAATCTTTTGGAGTTGTCTTCTAATCTTCTCATCATGAAAAAAAAACAAATGCTTCAAATTCACCATTAAAGGCCCAAGGGTAGTATAACATCCATGCCAATGGAGAGTAGATGTAGGTTTCTACTGGAGCAATGTCTCCAGCCTGCAACAGAGCCATTTAACTCTAAAAAGATACAGTGAACATTCACTTGAACACATGGCGACCCTGAGAGATCACATGTGGGACATCACAAGGCTGAAACTTTCTGCACCACATGCCTCCCCAAAAACAGAAACACACGGATTGCATCCCAAACAGAACATTTCTGATTAATTTCAAAATAGACATGCTCTCATTTTTTTATTCTGATATTGCTATTTCTCAATATACCTTTAAAATCTCTTTGGATTCTAGTTGTTTTTGCAGAAATACAATAAAAGCCATGCACTGCTGTAATATGGAGTCAACTTGATCCAGATGGAAAAAATGTTGATAAAAAACATAATTATGTGGACGGCCCATGTGTTTCCTATTTGTTCTGTTAGTTCAAAGGCGTCTGGTTTGTACTGAGAGGCTATGAGGCTGGTGTGCACATCTCCCTCTACAAACAACTTTAAATCAGTGTCCGTGGAGTTTAATGAGAGTTTATGCCAGGTAAATAGCGCTGAGGAACATAACCCAAGCTCCCCTGCAGTCCAGCGAGTTCATTAGAGTAAACATCAGGTTTATAAAATTACATAAGACACAGCTTCTAATATTGCACTGTAACCTCCAGTTAAAAATCCTGTCTGCAGCTTAGTTTTGAAGTATTATTTGTGCTTTTTTAAAACTTTATTTATGATGCAGCTCTGAACATCATAAACCTCTAGAGTTTCCGAGCTGTTATACAAGAATGCCTTTACATTTTACCTGAAAAAAGCCTTACCAACTATATCTAATCTACTTTTTTTACCATAAGAATGTGTCTGCCTTGTTTCTAAGACAACTTCTAGAACAACACAAAACTTTCACAGACACACCAGCATGGGGAGATGATTGTTTGCACGTAGTCACAGGTTACTTTGAGTGTGTGTTTGCTCAGGCTTTTTGGGCCAATCAATGTGTGTTGGTACTTTGGACCTTTGTAGGATTGTTACATTTTTTGTAGTAAATATTCTTAAGTCATGACAAAGGTAACTATATCCAGTCACGTGAAGGCACATAGGTTGACACAGTCTGATTGAATGACTGTATAAAGTTGCACATTTCATTACGTGTTCAGGGAATTACAACACAAAATCCTTGAATACAACGTGTACATGCGTGCTGCATACATAAACTCTGTGAACTTAGCAGTGCTGTCATGAACTGTGGGGGATTCCTAGATGTTTACACACTTGGTTACCTGTGACTCAGCACCGATCAGAAACCTTATTCCTCATCTGCACTGTGGACTAATGTGCTTACATATAGTGCCTTGCAAAAGTATTCATACATCATAAACCTTTTAACAAATTATTACATACACAACCTCTGATGTATTTTATTTACATTTTATGCAATGGAGGAACACAATTCTTGTATTATGTTGAAGTGGGAGTAACATGGTTTAGGGTTTTCAAATTATTTTACACATTAAAATCTGAAAATTGGGGATTTATTACACAACAGTTCATAGAACCACATTCCCTAAAATAAAAGCGGCAAGGGGTATATCTGTATCAGCTTTTTATGTTAAGAGACGGAAGGATTTTCCCATTGTTTTCTGAAAAAATGCTCAAGGAATGAATTGCATGGAGAGACACATATAAATGAGCATTGATTCCTTGAAGGTATGACTGGGGTTTTCCTGCTAGTTGCTGAACCTAAAGCCCAGTCTCAAGTCTTTTCCGATCTCTTGCAAACAGATTTTACTATTACCGTTGATGAATTTGCCTGCTTCTGTTTAAGAAAGGTATCCCCACAGCATGATGCTTCCACCACTAGTTAAGCCATGAATATTGTTTTTAGGTAAATGTACTGATTTTTTGCCAGGATTTTCCTTTGAGGCCATAAACTTAAGCATTGGGCTCATTGAACCAGAATGCCATCTTTTTGGATTGCCATTTACTTAGCACCATTCTGATTCCCATTTACTTTGATCAGCCGACCTGTCCCTGCTTTAGAAAACTACCCCAATGTTCCACTGGGATAGTGTGCAGAGGGCAAACTGAATTGCTAGTTTTGTCTGTAGAGCTAGTTGTTTTGATGCTGGCATTGAGGTTCACCTCTTGAGTGCTTGCTGTGTTCCCTACATGGCTTCTAGCAAGCTCCAAACGAGGCGTCTGGAAACTTTCTTTCAATGTTAGGCATCCTTTTGCTAATTTGCCCAGATAACCCAGCATTATAAGAGTAAAAACATCTAGATGGAAAAGTGTGCCATAATTGTCATGTTTTTGTAAAAAGAACCCTGAATTATATATCTCACACATTACAATTGTGCTCCTCTTTGTGGTGCAATTATCATATCAAATCAAAATTAAAATTTATTGCTATTTCAGCTTGTATAAGAAAAAACGTGATAGAGTTTAATGGGTTTGGGGTTTTGCTTTGAACTACAAATGCACATGATTAATAGTGTTTAAAGCTTAAGCAATATTTATAGTGAGCAGATTATTTGTTAGATGTAATGTATTTTCCGCAGCCTTTATGGTAGCCATGCCAGATGCATGGGCCAAACCGGAAGGCAGCCTGTGGTTCTTTTGCTCATAACTGTTTAAAGCCCACTGAATTACAAACCCTTCCAGAGCTTTTTGAGTCACATCTCTTCTTTATGTTTCTCCTCTGCATCTCAGGTGGCTCCAAAAATCGGCTCGATAAATGGCAAAGGCAAGGCACCGATGGAGGATACCCACACAGCAATGGAGGAGAATGAGGAAGTGGATGGCCGCATACCTCATACTCAATCTCCAGTCATTGTCCAGTCCATCACCAATCAAGGCGGACAGTTGGCACTTATCAAAAGAGAGTCAGAGTTGGACTTGACCAATGGTGCACTTCACCAACACATATGCTCTTCTGTGACTTATCAGAATACTTCTGATGAGACTTTAACTAAGCCTTATGGTGCTAACATGACCAACGGGTCTCAGTCTGATCTGAAATCAGTTTGTAAAAAGGCCACAATGGCATCAGAGCTTCAAAGGACTATAATCGCAGCAATTCCAAAAGACAGCTCTGAGAATGGGTCTAAGACGTCTGTAGACGAAATGTCAGTTCCACTAAAGAAGATCAAACTGGAAAAGCCATGGCTGTGGATCACTGAGCAGACCCCCTCGCAACTAAGTAAAGTAAATGATGATACGTGCGAAGATCCATTGTCGATGCTAGCAGCGGTTGTATGCTTGTCTGTCACAGAGAGGAAGGGACTGGAAGAGAAACTACTTGGGACGCAGTCCTCCATTTTTCGCTCCATCAAAACAGAACCACCAGATTTGCACTTTGTCAAAACAGAAAAAGATGAGTTTAAAAAAAGCACTCCTGCTAATTTGCAAAGGACTCCTCAATCTGTCAAAAGTGAACCTCCTCAGGGTGTCCTGCTACCCAGTGTGCAGACTTTGGCAGAGCGAAGAAACCTTAGTGTTGATCAGGCTATCGCCATTGAGGCCTTGACTCAACTGGCAGTTATACCTCAGAGCCCCTCAGGTCCCATTAAAGCTGAAATTAATAGTGATTTTCCAATTTCTTCCTGTTCCCCAAATTTGAACCCAATTTCTCCTCAGCCAGGAGCTAAACCTCCATCAGGCATCCACTACAATAAAGTCTCCGTCATCAGCTCACCACTGAACCAGACGTCAGTGATACGCCCTCCTGTGGCCAGACAGGGGAATGTCATCCAATGCTCCCGTAGGTTGAGTTGCGACACAGAACCTTCTATGCCAAGTAGAGGCTCAAGCTGCAGGGAGACAGAGCAGGCTCCTTATGTCATAAATTCTCAGCATCAGTATAAGGAGAACATTCACCTAGAGTCCCACGGCAATCACGAACAGTTGGTGGAGGGCAGAGAAAGGTGTGTCATTAAAGTGGGGAGAAACAGGGATGAGGAGGAAGTGGCAGCTCAATTGGCCGATCTGGCCTTCATCATCCAGTTACGACACAATCAGAAGTCAGAGAACGGCCAACCAAAGGGAACACCTGTTTCAGCTATAAAATATAACTACCAATCCCAGCAAGCTGCTTCTCAGAGAAAGCCTCCCTTAAAAAAGGTAAAAACTACACCCTCCAAGCCCAGGAAGAGGAAAAGCGACGGACCACAGGAGGGAGTCAGTCGTAGGACCCCGTTCTCAAAAGGTCTGATGGATGGGAAGACATCCCATAAAGGCAGAGGCCAGAATGGCCTTCTCCATGGAAAATCAAACCGTGTCCATAAGGACCATTTATTTTTGCCTCTGGCTCAAATTGATTTGAAGAAATACTCTGCTGAGGCTCATGAGGCAAAGAGACAACTAATCCATCAAACCAATGCTCATAACACAAGTCTGTTAACTATGAACCACAACGGTGCTCATCAAAACCAGCCATGGCCTCTTTCTAATGGTCTGCCTTACCAACACAATCACTGCAATGGTTTCATTGCAGGACCAGAGGAGGGCCATGTTTCTTCTCAGGTAGCGCCACCTATTGGTGAGCTGCAGCACGGTGCAAGTCCTAACACCAGCCCTACAAAACCACCTTTTCTCAGCAATGTGAATGGGCTCCATGTTGTGGCTAATGGCTTTTCAGGGCCTCCTGATTCCCCTCCTCCAAGCCAACAGAGCTACTACAAAATAGAGACATCAGGGTCGGTCACCGTCCTGTCCACAGCTGCTGATGGGACTCATCCTGCTGAGTCGACTCCGACGAGAAATGGCGTCAATAGTTTTCTGGACTCTCCAATGAGTTTTCTAGATACCCCTATCAAGAACCTGCTCAGCACACCATCCAAAAAAATTGCAGATCTTCCATCCTGCCAGTGTGTGGGTGAGTTTGTTCTGCTTTGTATTATTCACTGGAGCACAGCAGTGCACACATCACCCTTAGTAATTATTGTGTTACAGAAATAAAATGGATTCATTCTAAGCAGTTGTGACAAATACAACCTTTAGTTTGAGAGTATTAATGTGGGAAAGAATATTTGCCAAGTGAAGTGACATATTTCTAAAAGACCATTTTAAGTCTTTCTAGTTAGATTTAGGTCTGAATTTTGACTGGGCCATTTTGATTCATTGTTTTGATTGATCATCAGTAGATTGTGTTATTTTTTCTAAACCTAATGAAAAACCTTTGCTCTTTGCAGCCTCTTACAGATATTCCAGAAGTATTGCCTTTTAATCAGCTCATACATTGACTATATCAGTGTTAATTTTGTCATCTTTTTTAAATTTAGTCTTAGTCTTAGTCACAATGTCAAAAATCTATTTTAGTCTTAGTCATATTTAGTCATTGCCTTCCTGGTTAAGTTTTAGTCTTAGTCTAGATGACAAAAATCAATTTTAGTCTTAGTCATATTTTACTCATTTTCATTTTTGTCATTCTAGTCATTTTTGTCATTTTAGTCAACACTGTAAATAATAGAACTTCTCCACACACTGCTTTTTTTTTTACATATATATCACACTATACAGAATAAAAATTCTTCACACACAGCTTGTCTTTTTCTCTATTTTATTTAACACTGTGCAGAATAGAACTTCACATACCGATTCTCTTTTTAACATATATCACACTGTACACATTGAACCTTTTGTCAGCTTGTTTCATCATATCCACAAAGTGTTCCTCCTAAATGGTCCTTGCAGGCTGGTTCTCCTGGGCTTTCTGCTCTATGGCGTCAGGTTTGTGCAGTTGGGGTGCTCCCAACATCTCTGCAACCGACTTCCCTTCCTTACACAATCTCTGATTTGACTGTGGTGTCACTGTGTCAGGTATCTAGTTGGGAGGAAGAAATTTTAACAATTAATATCCAATTTATCAGTAGAACATCTTTCTTCTATGACAGAGAGGCAGACAGATACAGGCACAAGAAGGCACACACACGCATGTGCCCGTGCGCGCACACACACACCCCTGTTCCTACTACAGGACCACCCATTCCTTACCTTCTTCCATATGGTAGCATTTTCGCAACTCAGATGTCGCTTGAGATTCGCTGTGTTCTTCCCTGCCATTTTGAAGCCTCAGACTCTTTGCTGGCATCCTTCCTCCGGTGTTGTCCTTCGCGTTGTAAACAAAATGGCTCCATACATCCAGGCGTTGTTTTCGCCCAGCTCCTCCAACAAACCGTACAAACTGTACACCGATATCAAACCTTAATGACTGCGAAGTTGAGCTAGCCATGGTTAACTGCTACCAGTGACCAATATATAAGCCCTGTACTGCTACTGAGCGGCGTGAGGCACTGTGGGACAGGTGGCGTGTAGGGACAAACAGGGCAACAACACGTAATCTTCTATGAAGCTCAAGAAAAACGTATATTAACAATTACAAATTAATTAAATTTCTTAATGTCCATTTGTCCATGGCTCGTAAATTTCGTCTGGTCTTAGTCTCGTTATCGAAAATCATTTTTTATTTTCATCATATTTTTATTTTCTTGAAACATATTTTGTGCGTTATTGTCACATCATCATCACAGGAAAATGGGGCGTTGACAAAATGTTTTGGTCATCGTCCTGGTTGAAGAAATTAACACTTGACTATATTTTTCAATTTTTCAGACCAAATCATTGAAAAGGAGGAAGGCCCTTACTATACTCATCTTGGTGCAGGACCCAATGTTGCTGCTGTGAGGGAAATGATGGAAAACAGGTAAACTAAACAGTTTTGACCAAACACATTTTGTGAGCCCCCTTGTTGCCACTAGCAAAGGACTTGGTTGCAGCTACTCTGAGAAAGAAGGAAGTTTCGTTATGGTAGTTAACACTTGCACTATTTGTAAGACTACAACAGCTCTGCACAAAGTACACAGAAACACACAGCCTGGTGTAACAGGAAGTCCCTTAAGCTGAGACCGGGGGGCCCATAAGCTTCTTTAACTGTTTTTTCCTCCATCACTGTCCAACTGACAGCATGTTTGTACTGGCAGAAGAAAATACGATGAATTATAGTAGAAGATAGAGTTAGGATACAATGAGAGTTTGTGTAAAATAATGTAATGATTTGTAATATAATCAACTGTGATTATCGTGGTCTGTCCTCCAAACAAGAGCTACTATGGCAACAAATATGAACTCTTATTGACAGGATGTAAAAGAGCCTGAACAAACAACATTTGGCTTTGAATGGAGCCATGTCTAGTAGGATGATAGGGCCACTGTTTTTAAACAACCATCAGAAATCTTTTAACCTTTTGAAATTAGATTACCTTTTTCTTTTTCCTTCATTGAAAAAGGAAATAACATGACTAGTAGTTTGATTAGTTGCCTAAATCACTGATGCTACTGTAGTAGAGGTTACTTATAGTAGTAGAAACATCAGCTTAAGAGCAACGGCTGCATTGTGGATTTAATCTGCTGACTAATATTCTGTGCCTTCATTTGATAAAGGACATTTCTCTTTTAATATGCAATATAACTGTACTTAATTTACTACTTTAGGGGCCATGGCTGCATTTATGCTGTTGCTTCAGAAATAAAAAAGTAGAAATTCAAAATAACTGAATTTCAGGACTTTACTCCTTATTCTATTTTTTGTTTCCTTAAAATAGAACTATTTTCACCAGTATGCAATAGCTGTCAGCTTTGAGTCAGATCAGACCAGTGTTACAGCAATATTTTTGTTTTGAAAACTTATAAAGCAATGTAACTACTTTCATGAATAAAAACTGATCTTTTGCATCCAGGTTTAAACCTTTAAACTGAGATATGTATGTACATAAACCTGGTTTGGTTTGAAGCCAAAAAAGACTGAAACAAATACTGTTAGAGGTGATAGAAACAGCTCAGTCATACTTACCAGATATGTTTTAAAGATCTGAAGTTATAATTTAATTTTTCAGGCCTTATTAGACTGCTTTAAATGATTAGAAATTAAGTTTACTATGCAGCGAGATATAACTCAACTTCAGCGTGGTATTGCTCCATGAATTGTTGAAACTATGAATAGTAAAACTTAAGGGAACTTTTATTGTTGGAAATGTAAAGAACTGAAAAAAATAGCCAACCCATAATGATGAAATCTTGAAAATGAATCTCAGAAATAAACAAAAAATGTGACATATGTTCAACATGATGGGATTGCTTTAATGTTTGGTTTCATTTCACAGATATGGTGCCAAAGGAAATGCAGTGAGGGTGGAAGTTGTTGTTTACACTGGGAAAGAAGGAAAGAGCTCCCAGGGGTGTCCCATAGCTAAATGGGTATGTGATTGCTGTAATGCTCATCATTTTCTTTCCTATAATTACATGTTGAGGCCAGACATGTATTTAGAAAAGAGCTTCTCGCTTTTGAAATTGGATTTTGAATCTGTTGCCTGATTTAATCTGCTGTGCATCATCTGACTTGTTTTCTCCCAAATCACGTGGCAGGTGATCCGGCGTGGGAGCGAGGAGGAGAAGCTCCTGTGTTTGGTCCGCCAAAGGCCAGGACATCACTGCGAGACAGCTGTGTTGGTGATCCTGATACTAGCATGGGAGGGAATCCCTCGACCGGTGGCGGATCACCTTTATCAGGACCTCACAGAGACCCTCTTTAAATACGGCTCCCCTACCAGTCGACGATGCGCCCTAAACGAAGAGTGAGTGTTTTCCTGTTCTGCCTCTTTATCCAAACTGTTTCTATTACTTCCCTGCTCTAACCTCTCTGTCTCTGCAGCCGCACCTGTGCATGTCAGGGTTTGGACCCAGACACATGTGGAGCCTCGTTTTCCTTCGGCTGTTCCTGGAGTATGTACTTCAACGGGTGCAAGTTTGCACGCAGCAAAGTGCCCCGCAAGTTTCGCCTTCTTGGAGACCTTCGGGAGGAGGTTAGGGAATGTTTGCTCATTTTGCAGCTTCACGGGCTAAACCATTAAAAATCCTAAAGTACTACTAGAACTCGTCCCTCTGCTGCCTGGCTTTATAATGGTTGCTCCGTGTAATCAGTGTTTGATTTACTTCATGGTTTAATTAGGCAGAGCTGTTTGTTTTATTAAGCCCCATGTCATTTACTTTACCTCTGCATCTTTAAAACCAAACATCTTCCTTGTGGTGAATGCTGAGTATGACATTTGAAGCCACTTTTTTCCAAACTTCTTTTTCACAACTGATCTCTCAGCAACCAAAGAAAAAAGACCTAAATCTGTTGCTTTTAGGAAGAGAAGATCGAGAACAGCCTTCAGAGTTTGGCCACTGATCTTGCTCCACTCTACAAAAAACTGGCTCCCGCTGCGTTCCAGAACCAGGTATGAAACAAAAAACAGCTCACCTTACTTGCTCATCATAAGGGGGACTTTTTTGTCCTTTTTGTTACTTTTATTAATTTAAGGTCTTCTGATCACTAGATAAAAAAAAAATTGACATAGTCTTATGTATTCTTTTAATAGAAACCACTTTGTACAAATGTTTTATTGTTCTTCTGACCTTTTACAGGTTGAGTATGAAGCAGCCGGGGACGCTTGCCGCCTCGGTAGGAAGGAGGGACGTCCTTTTTCAGGAGTCACGGCTTGTGTGGATTTCTGTGCACATGCTCACAAAGACACCAGCAACATGAACAACGGCAGCACCGTGGTAAGCATGCCTCAGAGTCAACAGTAAGTGCAGAGAATGCGATCAGAAATTTTATTAGGCTGTTTTATTTTAGCACATATTTACAAGAGTTTTGATGTCTTTTGAAAGAAAACTTTTTTAGTTTTGTCTAATAAAAACAAAAAAACTGTAATGTGTTTTGTTAGGATGTTTATGTTACAGACCAGGGGAATGTCTATTAAAGCAAATTTTATGGCAGATTCTTAAAGATATAGAGGACGATCTTTTGTATCCAGGTGGATCATCTAAATAAGTGATCCTCCTAATTGTCAATCATTCTGGTTATATGTTTACGTATGGCCGTCCCACGTGCTCTTCCCGTTAGCTATCTTTTCCTGTGCATGCACACTTTCAGGCGTATATCTGTGGTGAGCTACAGTTTTAAGGCAGTAATTGAAGCTCTCCTTTCACACCCTGGTTCTTTGAAAATGGCCAAGGATCTTAAGAGAAAAAGTGTCTAGGAAGTGTGTGAGAAGAAAAGAAAGGCCTCAGAAGAGGCATTTATAAAAAAAATTGAGGGCAGACATTCGGACACAGTAAGCTTGTCTGAGCTATGATAACAGAACCTTTTAAACAGAGCGTGCATGAGGAGAAATGAGCTTGTGCATGCTCTCGCACGCATTTAATAGGCATTCCCTGTTGGGAGCCGGTACAGGGCTTTCCATGTGCATTTGTTTTTTTTATTGGAGAAGGCTGGTCTTTTAAAAAAAATGCTTTAAGATTAAAATTTTAAGTGATTATAAGTGGGTCACTAAGTGAAACAATCACAAGAAAAAATCAGCAGAGACACTCCTTCCATAGCTCTTATAGTAGGTAGTAGTGATGCCCTGTTTGGAAGCTGTCCCTCATCATTTCACACCATAGAAGAAGAAACTCAAAGTTGTAGTTTTCAGTTGAAATAAAAATCTTGCCTTCTGTCTGGTGTTCTTTTTCAGGTATGTACTTTAACACGGGAAGATAACCGTGCGGTGCGAAACATACCCGAGGATGAACAGCTCCATGTGCTCCCCCTCTACAAGATCTCTGAAAAAGATGAGTTTGGTCAGGTCGAAGGCCAGTGGGCCAAGATCCGGAGCGGTGCTTTACACGTTCTCTCCTCTTTTCCCAGAGAGGTAAGTTGACAGTGATGCATTGTTTGGGGGGTGGAGACTGCTAAGAGAAACTTTCTTTTTTTTTTTTGTGCTTCACTCATCTCTTTCTCCTTTATTTTTAGCATCTTTTCTCATTTATCCCACTCCTATTTCTTTCAGTCCTGTCCCTGTTTTCTTATTGGACTGCTCATCTTCTCTTAATATGCAAACACTGGTCCAGTGAGATGTTTTGCTTAACTATCTGCAGCTGCTACACAATGCAATGATGCTGTGCTTTATTTGGTAGAAAAAAAAACTTTTAACATCGGCCGGTTCGGTTTGACACTCCAGTCAACCTCTCATTTATCTCCCCCCCCCCCGCCTTCAAAGGTTGCGCTCTGTCTGCTGGCAGGAGCATTTCTTTTGCTTTTAATAAAAGACTCTTTACATTCTAATGTGGTATTAGGATAGCGTTGAAATAAAATACCACCAGTTTTCTTAACCTTCTGCTTATTTCTTCCACCTGATATTCTTTATATCTAGATTATGACATGTTCCTACAACCTGAATCCCCTCCATCTTAAATGTTACATTTGATGTTACATGTATTACTCCAGGAATACATTTGACCATAATCTTCTTCTCTTCCTTTATTTTTCTTTCCAAGATGATTCTCCCCGTACACAGGTTTTCCATATTCAAACCTTAAAAAACTTGCAGCTCTATATTTAGCAATTTTTGCTGTGAGATATTGAATTACCAGGACTTGATTATTTATAATACATTACTCAAAAAAAAAATTAAAAGAACACTCTGTAATCAGAGTATAGCATCAAGTTAATTAAACTTCTGGGATATTGATTTGGTCAGGTAAGTAGCAGAGGGGGTTGTTAATCAGTTACAGCTGCTTTAGTGTTAATGAAATTAACAACAGGTGCACTAGAGGGGCAACAACGAGACGACCATCAAAACAGGAATGGTTTCACCAGTTTTGCATTTGGCTAGGGTCACTGTCACTACTGCTAGCATGAGGCACTACCTGGACCCTACAGAGATTGCACAGGCAGTCCAACTCCTCCAGGATGGCACATCAATACGTGCCATTGCCAGAAGGTTTGCTGTGTCTCCCAACACAATCTTAAGAGCATAGAGGAGATTCCAGAAGACAAGCAATTACTCCAGGGGAGCTGGACAGGGCCGTAGAAGGTATACAACCCATCAGCGGGACGGGTATCTGCTCCTTTGTGCAAGGAGGAGCAGGGGGAGCACTGTCAGAGCCCTACAAAATGACCTCCAGCAGGCCATTGGTGTGAATGTCTCTGACCAAACAATCAGAAACAGACTTCACGAGGGTGGCCTGAGGGCCCGACGTCCTCTAGTGGTCCCTGTGCTCACTGCCCGGCATTTGCCACAGAACACCGGAATTGGCATGTCCGCCACTGGCGCCCTGTGCTTTTCACAGATGAGAGCAGGTTCACCCTGAGCACATGTGACAGACGTGAAAGGGTCTGGAGAAGCTGTGGAGAATGTTATGCTGCCTGTAACATCATTCAGCATGAGCGGTTTGGTGGTGGGTCAGTGATGGTCTGGGGAGGCATATCCATGGAGGGACGCACAGACCTATAGAGTCTAGACAACGGCACCCTGACTGCCATTAGGTATCGGGATGAAATCCTTGCACCCATTGTCAGACCCTATGCTGGTGCAGTGGGTCCTGGGTTCCTCCTGGTGCACAACAAATTGATTGGCCCCCATGCTCGCCTGACCTAAATCCAATAGAACACCTCTGGGACATTATGTTTCCATCCATCTGACACCGCCAGGTTGCTCCTCAGACTGTCCAGGAGCTCAGTGATTCCCTGGTCCAGATCTGGGAGGAGATACCCCAGGACGCCGTCCGTTGTCTCATTAGGAGCCTGCCCCGATAATGTCAGGCATGCATACACGCACGTGGGGGCCATACAAATAGCTAAATACCATTTTGAGTTCCTGCAATGAAATTTCAGCAAAATGGACTAGCCTGCCGCATCATTTTTTCACTGTAATTTTTAGGGTGTCTTTGAATTCAGCCCTCTGCAGGTTGATAATTTTTATTTCCATCAAATGATGCGGCAACCTTTTGTTCCTAACACATCACCCAGTCCACATCAGTATAAATAAACAGCATGATTTTTTCCTCCATTAAGATCTGATGTGATTTCAAAGTGTTCCTTTAATTTTTTTGAGCAGTGTAAAGATTTTAAAACCATGTATTATTTTGTTTGACTTCAGAATAATGCACTACTTTGCATTTTGTTTGTCACATACATCACAGTTCCATTAAAATGCATGTTTGTGTGAAAACAAAATGCCGGTTTGTGGTTGCAACATGGCAAAATGTAATTGCAATATGATGTAATATATAGATTTGGTTTCCGTTTTTAATACAGTCATTTGTTTTTTTTTTTGTTTTTTTAGGTGCGCCTGCTGGCTGAGCCCGTGAAATCTGCCCGCAAGATAAGACAGGAAGCTCGTCTAAAGGCTCAGGCAGAAAAGATGGAGAAGAAGCTGGGGGGGTCTTCTGTCACTCCTGGAAAAGTCAAATCTGAAACCCCAAATAAAGGTGATACATCTAAATATCTCATTTCTATTTTTATAATAACATTTCAGAAATGATCAGAAGAGATTTTAAAGTTATGTTAAAAAATGATGTTATTTTTTTGCCCTAAAAGAGCCTCAAGGCATCTACAGCCCTTACAAAGTACCACTAAGGCCGGCCAGTGTTGGCAAATCCTCTCCAGAGAGAAATCAACCCACTGCCTACAGCCAGAGCATCAGCAGCTGCTTTTCTGCAGGTGCCGGGGCCACTGCACAGAAGGAGGTGTTCCCCTCCAACCACCATGGTATATCAAAGCTCCAATTGGAGCAGAACGGCATAGCTTACGGCTATCATACAGTGGGTAATAATATGAGTGGATTGACTCATGCTTTTGGAGAGCATGGTGCTTTGTTAGAACATATACCTCCACAGAACATCAACAATGAATATCCCTTTAAAGCTGAGCCCAACGAGGTGCACTGCTCTACTCTGCACAGATTGTCCCCCTCCTCCCTCTCCCCTAGACCTACCTCTGAGGGCCTCTTCAGCAGGCTTAATGGACTTCAACCTGCAGAACATGTAGCAGGAGAGGTAAGGAGCCATGACCTCCCTCCAGGCCATTCTCTCCCCTTACAAACTCCTCCGCAAAACATGCAACAGGAAGAGGTATGGTCCGACAGCGAGCACAACTTTCTGGACGAGCATATAGGCGGAGTCGCTGTGGCGCCATCACACGGCTCGATTCTGATCGAGTGTGCGCGGCGTGAGCTCCACGCTACCACTCCCATCCTCAAGCCTAACCGCCGCCACCCCACCCGCATTTCGTTGGTCTTCTACCAGCACAAATCCCTGAATGAGCCGGGCCACGGTATGGCGATGTGGGACGCCAAGATGGCAAAACGAGAGCGGGATCGGGAGGAGGAGGCTGAGAGACTGAGAATGGAGGGAAACAACAGTGCAGGGAAGAACAGAAAAACATCAGGTGGCGTAGAGGGAGAGGAGGATGAGGAGACAGAGGAGTCAAAAAGGGTAATGAATGTCCCAACGCGTCAGGCTTTAACTACGCCTACAGGTGGCGTTACAACCGTGTCTCCTTACGCACTTACACGCGTGACAGGCCCTTACAATCGCTGGTCTTAGTCTGGGTGTTTAACCAGACTCACTCAAAACTCCTACACCGTGGTTCTGCCTTACCTCATTCAGCTTCTAACCGCTTCTCTCATTGTTATCGTGTCTGGGTTTTTTTTACTGTGCTTTTCTAATGTCTGCTGACTTTGTCCTTCTTGGAGTCTGCCCTGTTTGGTAATGAGAAGGACCAAAGTTTGTTGGCTTTTTAACTGTGAGTTTCGGTGCTGGTTTTTAATGTAAAAAGATGGTGCTTTGAAGCAAGATGTTTTTAAACTGGTTTTATACACATGATTTAGAAGAAAAAAAAAGATGTGATTATTTATTCTTATCATAACGATTTCTATTTAATTTCTGACGTAAGCCTGTTTACTGCAAGATGTCTATATTACCCTGCTTTATATTGTACACTAATGGTGTACTTTGGTGCCATTCTCACTGTAACCGTGGTTAAGCAACTTCTTTACGTCACACAGTTTATTTACTACAGATTGTCACATGTAGCATTTTTGCTTGTTCCTTTAGCTGCCTCCGTCTTCTCTCAGTGGTTGAAGAGAGAAATGTTCTTCTTTTATTTGTTTTCTGTCTTCTTTCCTCAAAATATTTCATTTCTTCAATTCACAGCTATAGATGGCATATTAAGAAGCACTTTTTTAATTTCTCTTAACTTAAAAAACAGTGCATAGGCCTAAATATGTATGTACTGACAGATACAATAGAGTAAATATGACAGCTAAGCATTATTTTACAGTACAGTTATTTTACTGTTTTATTTTACACTATTTCTGCATTAATTTCCTTTTTATTTAGTTTATAAAATATTGCACATGTGTCTAATGAAATTTAGTAGTCGCCACAATGATGGAACATGAGAAACTGCAGGGGATTGTTAGTTATCAGCTTGACTAGAGCCGGTCCAAGGCCGTTTTCAGGTGCTAAACAGAGTGTGAATTGGGCCCTTTCTCTAGCTACTACCTGTCACCAAAGCTCAACCACTGTTTGCTTTTAAAGTACAAATTTTACTCTCATGCGATACTCTCATACGACGGGGCGAGCATGTAGGACGGACTTCCGTAAACATATTACCAAAATGATTGACAATTAGGAGGACCACTTATTTAGATGATCCACCCAGAAATAAAAGATTGTCCTCTCTATACCATTAAGTCATGTTTTATAACGTGTGCATTAACTATTGATGTTATCATGGATCCAACAGTAAGAAGTAAAGAGAAGTAAGAGAAGTAAAAAAAAAGTTTAAACAGCCAATTGAATAATTTGAATTAAACTATCAGATTTAGAGGCTTGATAATTTAATCATTGAGATGATGTTCTTATCAGTATTGGATGGAGTATTTTGTCTCTAAAAGATAAACACGATAAAAGCCCATCCCTAATAAATCTAGTCCAGCTGGTGAGATAAAAAAAAGTAGATTCCAATTAACTAACTTTTGCATCAGTTAGGAGTTTGAAAACAGTTGTTGATCTAGCATCTAACCTGAGAAATGAAGCAGGCTTTTTCATAGAAAGTTGTTTTATCAGCAACATGTTAGGATGTGTCTGAGGTTTATTTAGGGTGTGAGAGTCGGGGAGAGGGGTCAAGAATTTCGACAGATAACAGAATGGTTGAAATTCTTTTAGCTCTGTTTATCCTTTGGAGCTTCCCACATTTATCTTTTACGTATGATGCCACCTTTTGGAAATGATATTTTTATATTCTCTACCAGCACACAAAGAAAGAACTGCTTTAGTAATGAAGCTGATTGCTAACTAGATTGCTAATTGCTACAATAAATGGCAAAAGTCAGTTTCCGTGATCAGCTGTTTATGTGATTCCTCTCACACACAAACGTTTAGAAAACGAATGAAAACCCTAGAGGGGAGCCCTGTTGGTGGCGGTAGAGCTTGGGTTTGGTTTGCTTCTTCCTTGGGCCGGCTCATGTATTCCACTCACAGAATTGGCATTCTTCATAGGGGGCAAGAGTGATAATAGGAACTTAGAAATATATTTTATTGGTGCTATTTTCCCAGAAACTACCTTCTTAACAGAAGTGTCAGATATTATCACAAAGCCATCTTAGCAACTGCTGAATCAAACTTCTCCCTTTTATTATGAAACCACTTGAACACCACCTCCCACTAAAGCAATTAAGCAATTAATTAAGATCTTTTTTGTGCTCGACTCTCATGAGGACCTTTGTTTACAGATATCTTTTTACAGGGTCTCAATAATAGTTTTTTCTACCCATAAAAGAGAAGCTCTTTATTTTAGGAATACCAATGAATGCAACTTTAGAACAATTCTTCAATCACTTTCACACTAACACCAATGGCATTACATTTTCAGCTACAACGTTTTGGTCACATGCTTAAACTTGGTTTTGGTGCTAAAAGAAGACTTGTCCAAGCAGACATTGACTTGAACTGGTTCTAAAATGCATAACGGTGCTTTTTCTAAAACCTATCCATGTGGTACTTATTCAGCAAACGTTGTCTTTGTCATTTCCTTTGACATTTACTAGCAGACAAGGGACAGCAGAGAGAATAATGAATACATCTGCTCAAGTCCCATTATAAGGTGCAGTTTTTTACTTTCAGATTAAATGTCTTCCACAGGTAAGGAATTCTCCAGCAGCTCTTAAAAAAAAATCAGAACCTACATGCAAAAAAAAAAAATACATGAATGTAAGCTGTTTAGAATCCAGTGAATTTTAAATACATCACATGATAAAATGAAAGTTGTATTTTTGTGTTTTGTTGTTGGGACATTTTCAGTCCACATGGAACATTTTTGTAATGAGCACCAGCATTAAGAAAGACTGTAAATATCTATGTGAACCACATTGTTTTTACTGTACTGTTAAAGGTGTTTTAGACAATGGGTGATCTTGCTTATTTTGAAACTGAATTACTGTATGTTGGTAAAAGTATATCCAGTTTAGACTTGAGGAGAGACTAAATTTAGCATTCCTTTTGTGGATGGCTGATCTCTTTTGGCATTGTGAAATAAAAGTCATATTTATATTTTGGACCTCATCTTGATTTTCTTTGTTTTATTTTCAGTCTTCTTCACAAGCTAGCAATACTTCATTTACAGTTTAAAACAGAACTTTACTTACACTTAAAAACAAGACAACTTTGCACTTACTGTCTGATATTCAGTCAGATTAAACTTTTGCTGTTTAGGTCAATTAATATACCCCAAATAGTTTATATCTGCTTAACTGGAATGTATAGTAAAGAATTTTCATATCTCTTTAAAATGTAAAATTTTACATACAGTCAGGTAATTATGCCTTCATTTAATTTACAAAATCCATTGGTCATAATTTTGAGATAGACTGGTTTAAAACAGTTCACTTAAATGGAGGCACATTTGCAGCTGTATTAAAAATAGGGCTGCAACTAACAATTATTTTGCAAATCGATTAATCTGTAAATTATTTTTCAAATTCAACAATTAATAATTGAATTGCCAAAGGTTCTTTAATGAACACTTTTTATTAAATGAAACTCAAACTTTTCCACTTGTGGAGTTCTGGATAGAGCATATTGATGCAAAATGTTTTTTTTTTTTTTTACAATCTTGGTATAATTTCCCCATTGTGGGACAATAAAGGGATTTTATATTATAATTACTGCTCAAAGTGTGTCGGTCTGTCAGCTAAAGGCATGTTTTACAGTTTCTTTACCCCAGTTAACGATTAGTCGATTATTAAATTAGTTGACGATTATTTCAATAATCGACTTTTCATAATTAATCCGATTAATTGTTTCAGCCCTAATTAAAAAGGCAACAACCTGAACACACTGCTTTCTCATTAGACATCAGTGGAAAAGCCAAATATTTCTGTCAACATATCAGAAAAAAGAGTGTTGACCTCTGCAACCTCCATCTGTTCAAACAGATAAATCAAATATTACCAATATGGAGTGTCCATGGAGCAAGTTGTGGTTTCTACCATGCACATTAAAATTAACACAAATTGAAATGCCTTTGAGATATGAATATTTTTTCAAGGCATTACATTGAATACATTTTTTTGAATTCATTCCATCATTTCTGTGCACTAAAAATATCAAACAGGAGAATAAAATATAAAAAAAAACCCTTTACTTCAGGATACTATTTGGGAATTGTTGCCTACGTGACAGGTCCCGCAAAAAGAAAAGAGCTGGTAGTTTACCTGCAGGATTGAGAGCAGTTTAATAATGGACCAATGCTATCTTTAAAAGCTTTGAAAGTTTACAGTTGGGCTATATCCTTTGCTTTTTAAAAAGGGCAGCATCTCTAGTTGAGATAAAGTATTCATTAAACAAAAGCCCAAAGGTCAGTCTGCATTCTGAGCTGAGGCCAAAATACCAAAGTGTCCTTTAAAACAATCTTGTCATTATTGTATTTCTCTATGTAAAAACACTCAGATTAAAAGTCTTTCCAATCATTTAAGTAACTAAGACCCCTTTCATATGACAAAGATATACACAGTGGTGAAACCCAAAAGGATAAATAGGATTAACAACATAAACGGGGAATAACAGATAGATTTAATGTGGTGGGTGTTAACCTACCCCCACCATTGTTTTTTTTTTCTTTTAGATGATTACATTACTCTTTCAATAGCTGTATGTTAACCTGCATTTTGAAAGATTTAACTGAATCAAAGCAGCATAAAGACAAGATGACAATGCATTCCACAGACAATGGCCAATTCTGTACAAGATATTTCTCCTCTGTCCCTAAAATGAGAGCATCAGATGATCTCAGACTTGGATTTCTGAAAAGTTAGATATGTAAACTAGATTAGGACTGCAAAGGACTCTGAATGAAAAACTTCAAATGGATTCTCAAATTAATAAACAAATTGCATAAATAATGTGTTGTCTTTCTTGAGTTCAGTCTAATACTTGATTGATATTAAAAGAGATGAAATTAACAGCTTGGATTGTTTTTTTTTTTTTTTGTAAGACTACAGCAAAAGTTAAAGGATCATGAGCCAGATGATATAAGCAAAATGATTCATCACTAAGTTCCTCGTGACTTTTTGTCAGCTTTAGTCCCGGCTAATGGAGGATGGTCTGATCACTCAAGGAACCACATGTGACAAAGATGCCTCTTAAAGCTAATAACTAAGGAGGAAAGTGAGTTCTAGGCAGTAGATTCCAGGTTCATCTGGTTCAAAGTAGTTTAGCATTACAGTAAACAGCTATAAGGGGAATTGGGACCAACCTATAGGTAAAACTACCTTTAAACAGGGGATTTTCAGTTTAATTATCTAACTGTAGACTGATTGTCAATTTGATCATTTTCTAAAATATTTGCCACTTTAGGTTTTTCCTTTTTCCATTTGTATATTTATAAGATACATCCATAAGTTGCATTTTTTTGGCAACATTTTACATGTGTTGATTAGTAATTTGTGTTTAAGGTTTTTAAATCTTGGAAGACTTAATTTTTTTAAGAATAAAAAACGTAGACTTTGATTATGGACCTTTCCCAATCGGTGGCTACTCCCTCGCCCTACCCACCTCTCATTCCGTTTGTGTGCCTATGGAGAGTCGGCCATATTAAGTCCCGTCTGAAACCAATTACGTATGAGTGTGAGTGGTTCAAAGGCCCTCCACATTAAGAAAGTATCTGTTTGGCCCAGTCCCAATACCTGCACTCCTACCCTTGCATACTTCAATTATGCGTTCCCACTAAGGGTTCAAGTGCATAGCGTGTCCCAATTCCTTAGAGCGGTCTTTTGCTAGACTTAAAATACTTTTGTTCCAATTATTTACAGATATTTCGGATAACTTTATTTTTCCTCTTACAATGAGACAAGGTGTTATTATCTTGCCCCAAACCAGATAAAGACCCAAGACCTACTGAGAATAGAAGATGTATCTCACTCAGAAATTCTGATTATAAGTTGCCAACCTACATATTTACTACATTCCTATTGACTTGATTCTCAAATATTGTTGCAGAATCACAATCTGGCTTCTTAAAAGGAAGATTGATCCACAGCGTTGTACTAGTCATGGATTTAATTGAATATAAAGTCTTAATCAACAATGATGCTTTAGTATTTCCTTTTATTCAGATTCTGTAGAACGGCAATTTTTTTACAGTACTTAAATATTAGGCTTTGGAGAGGGACTTGTTAATTTAATTAGAGGCCTAAATCAGAACATGGAAAGTTGTGTAACACTTTCTAACCGTACGATAGTTAGATTTAACATTAATG